CGCCCCGAGGTCTTCTCCTGCACGCGAACGGAGTGCCCGGAATTGAACAGTAAGCGAGGGGGTACACACCCGGTGCAAGAATACCACACTTTTCGAAGAAGGCTCTGAAAGACGTACACCCGGTGAAAAAATACGGCACGATTGGAAGAGGGCTCTTGAAACTGGTACACCCGTTGGGAAGATATGGCACTGGCTCTTGAAACAGTTACACCCGGTGCGAAATACGGCACTATTGGAAGAGGGTCATTAAAAGAGGTACAACACCCAGACACGATGTGATGCACTGACGACAAATACGCGGGCAGCGCTCGAGTCCCAGCTGAGATGCTAGTTCGTGTGCTGCCAAAACGTAGAGCCGCATACGAGTCATATGTGCGATCGAACCACAGCATACCTTTCGACGAAGAGAGCCGTCAGCTACTGATTGGACCAGCAGGTTAGAGGGACGTTTCGTTTTTGTCGCGTGTGAGCAACAACAACCATGTCGACAACAATACAAATAGAAAAGACATCACCAGCGTAACAACAAACGAGCTCCACTACATGTCAAAGTTTTAGTTGAGGTCTATAGCCTTGGGGGGGGGCACACCAGAGAGACAAGCGGGTACATACCCTGGGGTCGTCCTTGACGGGTTCCTCGGCGGGCAGCCAGTCTATGTCCACGAAATCCCCGTCGGATGTGGGCCAGCGCTCTCTCCAGTACCCTAGCGGCTGCAATAGAAACAAATGCAGGCCAGAATATTGGACGGGGAAGAGGGAGAGGTGGCAGCAGAATCCGCAAGGGAGATAGGACGAGGGGATACAACGGAGAGCGGGACGCAAGCGAAGCAATGACCTATGATTCAGCCCATGAAAAGGGAAGATTCCAACATGATGCAATTTCCCGGACTGCTGTGTACCCAGGGACTACAATCTAAAAGGAGTTGTGTGGTCGTTGGTCTGCGGTGCGTACATGAAAGCATACCTGTCCGTCTACCTCCTTATTCCCTTGCTTACAGTTCTTCTGCTGATACAGCTCGCGGCGAGGGCTTCACTCTGACCGACAAAAGAGGTTACGCTTTCGAGAGCAGCATTTCTCCGTTCTAATGTCGTTTGTTCTAGCAATGGCTTGTTCAGTCTTTCTCAAAAGGCATCTACATAGATCGTTCCAGAGTGCATTAAAGCAGGGTACCATAACCACGGGTTTCCTACCACTTGGTGCCATCGGGTCCTTGATCTGATCATTATCTTTTCAGGGGGAAAACACACGTGTGCAATAGACCGCCGCCTCCCTACACCATCCTCGAAAAAGGTGCGGGGCGGCAGAATCGGTGCTCTCGACACCTCTACTGTATCGCTGCTGAAGAAGCTTATTGGTGTACCAGCTGCTTCCACTAGGAACTCCGGACGACCGAAAAAGGTTTCTGGCGAGCTGAATTGGACACAAAATGAAACAACCTGCTGTGTTCATGGTACAAGGTAAACACAAACGTACCGTTCTGTCGCCGAGGAGTTTCTTTTCCATGTCTCCGGAGGCGACGATGGTGTGGAGGTGAGCGTTACGCGCCCATACAGGGGGAACGTAGTCCCTTGCGACGAACGAATCAACCGCATCCCGCATCTCCGAAACGTTGGCGTCCCACGGGGGTGCTGCGCGGCACGCATCCTGTTGCTGCTTGGTCGAGAAGAGGAATAAAATAGGGGGGAAATTCTTCAACAAGTGAGCAAAAGGTCGCTCTTCATATTTTGATGCTTCATTCGGCATCGAGTATGTAGGACTGAAACATAGTTCCGAGCTATTGTTTCATGGCCCGGCTGCCAGGCCCAAATAGTTTGGTTCCCTACACTCGCAATCCGGCGACATTCGTACACAAGGAGGCCGACGAGGTGCCAATCCTGGCGGACAAGAGGATTCACTCACGCCTGGATGTATGTGCACGTCAGGGATGGGGCTCATGAAGTATTTTTACGTTGTTCTCAGTGCTGCACACCTCCTTTTATTTCGACTGAGCTAGCTACTGTAGGTAGGACGTGTGAATGCACACAATACACTTTTTACTTCTTGTGTACAATCTCCTATAGTCCGCAGTACCAGTTCCTCCGATAGGTTTTTCGTCCCCTTCTTTTGTCTAACGATATTGTATGCATGGCAAGCTTTAGAGCCTTGACCCGTAATATCCTCTCTTTCGCTGTGAGGGGCCACGATTCCGGGTCACACTGAACTATCTATGGGCGGCACGGCCTTCAAACCGCCAAGATTTCAGCAATCCTCTTTTTCCCTTGAAAACTGAAAACAACAATGAACACATGAGTTGAATGTTTGAAAATTCAAAATTCAGTTTTCACACAACACTTCTATAATATGTGCAGAATTCCAGATTGTACTCAACGAGCAATTGTTATCTTTTTCTTGTAGAAGTGGTAACGAACATCACGCCCGGATTTTGATTGAACTCACGACCCTCTGAGGACCAATAAATTTTTTCAAGCGTACCGTCAGACCCACCACTGGGAAGCTGTGTTGTAGGGCGGTGGGAGCTCGACAGATCGTTTTACCGCCCGTCACACACGAAAGATATACCCGATCGAATCTTGGGTTCGATCAAAATATCTGACTAGGGTTACAACAGTTGTAGAACGAAATAACTATAACTAACATGTTGATCAGTCACCCTAATCTCAGATCCCGAGGAGATGGCAGCGTGTGTGCAAACGCAGGGACCGACAGAGTATGTACCCTGGAATTTAAAAATTTATGCATTTCGACAGTTGCTCGCATGATGTTGTTCTCTTCTTCCTGACGTGTTGACTGACCTCCTCGTCGCAGGCCGTGTTCTGCCAAAAATTTCCGTGCACAGCAATGTACAGCAGCAGTGCCCCACACGGCTGCAACGCAGCTGAGCCTCAGCAATCAAAAAGAGACACACAGCCTGCAGGTACTGCTTTTGTATTGTTGTACACACGCACATCGATCGTAGAACACGCCCACCTGATGCAGATCCTCTGGCGAGGACTTTTCGCGGGAAGGCAGCACCCTCACAGCTCGAAAAACATCAGAGATTCTTGCCCCTGACAACACCCAGCCACAGCTCGCCGAGAGCAGAGCGAAGGCGACCGACGCGCGAAGGGCCACGCTCGATGGCCTCATTACTGCGATGGACGGAGACAGGTGGCTGCTAGGGGACATGCTCCTCCTTCCGCAGAAGACGTCGTTCGTAGCGGTGTCCAGGACAGGTTGAACTGGGTGTAAATTTTCTAGAAGCGGCTGCTGACGATCCTGTGACGCGCCCCCCGTGTAGCTGCTGCTTTGAGCTGCCGGTCATGCGTCCAGTGCTGCCGCTGCACGTTCCACGCCCACGAATGCCTTGCACCCGAAGCACGAGGACGGCGACGCGGGCACCTTGGGTGTGGGGGTGCTGTCTGGATGCCTATGCCTCTGGAGACAACAAGGGGGAAACGATAAGAGCGAGCGAGACGTCAGAGTCAAAGAGCGAGAATCTCCGGTATCTCCGGTATCTCCGGTATCTCCGGTATCTCCACCACAGTCTCGACCTCCGAAATCCGAACCGAACCAAGCCGCTCCCTCGTTGATTAATCCCGCGGAGAGCGGAAGCCACAGCAGTAGCCGTAAATGCTACGCTGTTGACTAAGCGGGTGAGGTGTGCAATAGCATCGGACATATAGGTGGCGGCATGACAGATCCACTCGCAATTTCGCGATGACACGATGGTCCCCAGCAGAGGGCCTCCCTTGTGATTAAGGAAAAAAAAAATACACGCACAGAAAGACTACCCATTCGAGTAACCACAGCAGTCGAACGGGATGTGGTGGAGCCTTTTCAGTGAGTGGAGGCATGTTAGGGCCGGTCTTAACGAAGGAATCGGTTCTCGATTTCGAATTTGATTATAAGAATACAAGAGTCGGATCTATACCTAAATCCGACATGGCCTGTGTGTCTTATCGATGAAAGCACGAACGAGTTTTTTTGGGAAATCGTTTCTCCTTGTTGTTGTGTACACGTACGAAGAAGCCGAACAGGCCGGTTGATGACAGCCCCGCGGTGACGTGGATGCTGTAAACCCGCCGCAACAGCATTGGACACACAGCGACACAGCCTTCCCACAGCAGTCTGCACACATCGCCACGCTCGACGGAGCTCCTACAAGAGAGGTCAAAAGAAGAAGGCCATGCAGGTGCTGGTGCTGCCGCTGCCCCTGCTGCTGAGGATGCTGGTGATGCTGGTGATGCTCCTGGCCACGCCCCCCGCCTTGCAAATAGGACATTCTTCCTCTACTGCTCTTGCGCAACAAGGTGCCCCACCGTGGGTGTGCCTGTGCGCACTCCGTGCTGGATTGGTGTCGCGGCTTGGTGTGGCGCCTTGCCACGGCACTACTTTCTGTGCGTCAGTGCGTCACTTGCCGTCGACTGGACCGCTAATGTTCGAAGTTGGTTTCGTTTCACCCAAATCGGGATCCGATTAAATCATTTTACCTTTTTTTTTATTCCCGATTTGGAGAGGGGGGATCCGATTATAAGTCCTAAAGATTCCACGGGTTCCAGAACTTTTAGCCAATCAACAAGAGAGTTCTTTGGATCTTGTGGTTTTATAATCAAATCGGGAAGTGAAATCGAGAACCGATTCCTTCGTTAAGACCGGCCCTTTTAGTGGACGGAAAATGGGACGTCGCCAACGTCGCCTCTTGGCAGATTGCGCCGCCGTTTGACTCCAAATAATTCGTTTCGAGACAAAAAAAAGAGAAAGAAACGCAGATTTGAGGGCGAGAAGAATTCGGCTGCTGTACTGTAGACTGGCTGACCTCCAGAGACATAGAGACAACAGTAGTTTCCTTGCCGCTGTCGCTATGGACATGTCCCAACATTTCGCGTACCCAGGTCATGAAACCGTTTTGTGCCGAGGCAGCGAGCATTCCTGTAGAGCATGAACCGATCGCTCTTCAACACACGGCAGCAGTTGTAGTAGTTGGTGGCACTTTCTCGCGCCGTCGATATGTATGCGTGCAGTGAATTGAAACAAGTCCATTTTTCCATGGATTCCTGCACTCGCGTACATGACATCATCTAGGTTTCTCTCCCCCCACCGACTGACCGGGTCATACATTGGCGAAAGGGAAACTCCAAACAAGTATTGTAGTCATCGGTGTGAATCCCTCCCCCTGTCCCTTGCTCCGCTCGTAAAGCTAGCCCCGTCTCGCCAACTCTTTCGACCTGGTAGTGCGGCTACCAACTTTTCATATGAGAGATTTACGACAAATGTTGAAGTCGGCGTGCCGCCGACACCTTCTTCATAGCCGTCACCACCACCACCACGACACAGAACCCAACCCGAGTGCGACATACAACACATGATGAGCCTACCAGAACCATCCTGCTTTCAAAAATATCTGCATCTAGAAAAATGAAACTTAGTTTAACGGTAACCCTTTTTCAGGTTCCGCGACCGACGTATGTCGTGCGAACCCCCTCCCCCTGCGCTGCCGCGACCAAAATAAGGCACATCTGCGTTGCCCCCTTGAGGGCCGCCGATGTATTCGAGTGATTGCTCATCACACAGATCCACGTCACTTCCAGAGCTTTCGACCTAATGTGCCCCCAAAAAAGGACAAAAACTATACCCTGCTTACATGGGAAAGGTGTATGTTCGCTCGTCCCATCTATTCTGGCGCCAGTTTACACGGGAGAACAATTAAATCTCCGCTGGAGTTGGTGCACTCAGAGGTCTAGCAGCAGGCGCGTCGGGTCCTGGACCTTAAGGGCAACCGACTTAAGGAACGTCACCGCCTCCCGGCCGTCGATGAGCCGGTGGTCGTAGGTAAGGGCGAGGTACATCATGGGCCTTGCCACGACTTGACCCTGTGGACGCGTGGGCGGGGGAACACACAGCAGAACAGCACCACGGAACGGCGGGGCAACAAAATATGGTGAGGCACGAGGAAGGCAGGCATTGGTGACGTTGAAGCTCGAGAGGGCTCAGCCCCCCGTGCAAAACGCCAATGTTTCTCTCCATTCCGAGTTGGTTATTGTGTCCAAAAGAAAACATTACGTGACAAAAATGATTGATGGTGTAAAATAGTTTTTAGTGTCCCGTGTAAAAACCGTCAGTCCGACCTGGGCACTAAAGCAGAAAGTTAAAAAAGGGCACAAGACACACGCGGGCAAACGTTAACAACAAAACAAACGCAGCGAACAAGACAAACAACGAAACAGGTGGAACCAACTTTACGAGGTGGCACACTCCAAAGCAACGATATCTATAAACATACAACGAGACGTGGTGCGAGCGTAAGCAGAGAGACATGGCAGCCTTACCCCCCCGCCCTCCAATACGGTCAGTGATACGTGAGGTTTCCAACTTTGGAGGCAAGACCGACCAGCGGCTACCCAGCGGCCGCAAAATATCGTCCGTGGCATTTTCGAGCCAAGCAAACGACGTTCGACCCTCCCCTCCTTCTCCCCTTTTGCCCATACACCCGGAAACACTACAAACGACCGGGAGGACAGCCACGAACACACACGCAAGACGCAACATCGACAAAAACAAATCGGGTGGTGGAAGATGAAAAGCGGAGATTTTCACGCGGCTTAACTACGCAGAGCGGGGACACAGCGAATCATCCCCTTATGCTAACACTCACGTCGGGTCCGACGACAGCCCGCATCTTGGTGGCGTGCATGCCGAGGATGGCTGATTGGGGGGGGTTGATGATGGGCGTGCCCATGAGAGATCCGAACACCCCTCCGTTGGAGATGGTGAACGACCCTCCAGCCATGTCTTCGAGCGCCAGAGATCCCTGCCGTGTGGGTCGTGTGTAGGTAGCATCGTCAAGAAGGCCGGCAAAGGCGCGGAGGCGGGAAGGGGGAAGGGGGTGCGAGCGTGGGTCAGGGCACGGTCCTGAACACTCTATTATAACAAATGCCGACGCAAACCAAGGAAGACACGTTGGATCGGCCGTACGCAAGTTATGGGCACTCAACCAAACGCTTTACTGTGTCCACCACCATTTGGACCAACACAGGCGTCGTATCCGACCACGGTTGTGTAAGGCGCACAGAAGGCCGCCCGTCCGACGAAGAGGGTAGAGGGTTAGACGTGTTGTTGCACGCCCGCGCAGGTTACCAGCCAACACCCTGTTCCAGTTCTATGATACACCTAGCTAGGCAGAGCCAGCCCTTGTTGCTGGCCACGCAAAGCCACTTCTTTGCTTCAACTCCTCTCGTAGCGAGGCCTCCGGGAGGCAAGTATTTTCTCAAAAATGGCTGATGGCTTCATTACCCCCCGACGATAAGACCAATCCGACCCAACAACACCCGAGGCCTTGTCTGGCAGGATGCCAAGGTGCATGCTGGTATGCTTGTAAACACCAGCCTAACGACATAAGGGGTGGAGCGCCTCCTCCGACTCCCAATGTACAAGAACATTTTTTCCGCACGGGTGCATGGTGTACATTAGTAAACACCAACCTAACGAAACGAGGAACGGTGCACCTCCTCCAACCTACTAACCTACGATCATACAGGGAGCAATATTTACGAACACGTGCTTCGTTGTCTTGTTTTCGCAGACACGCATAGCCTCTGCCCGCCGCGTTGTCTGGGGCAGGATACGCCAAACGTTTTGAAGCGAAAATCACACAACACATGATGCAATCTCTTGGCTACGTCGTAACATCAGACTTTAATAACACAACGACCAACAACCTCGCACAGCACGCATGTTGCGATCACCACGCACGCACCTCCTTAGCCTTCCTGCCGTACTCTGCGATGGCCTTCTCCACGTCCGCGAAGCCTGGGTACCGAACGACCGAGCGGTGTTGGCAGGTCAGGTGCGGGCACAAGCACGCGAATAGCAGCGCAGGGACGGAGACAAAGCAGCACGACATACGTCCACAGCAGCGACATGCAAAAATTAATTCAATTGCGAGAGGTATCGGCAAGAGGATTTTGCAACCGCGGAGGGGGGGGGGATGCGTACGTCGAAAGAGGGTGCAGGGTTTGGTGCTGTTGCAGAGAACTGAACAGATCGGCGACGTAGCGAGCGATCATGGTCAAGAACCAGGACCACCGGCAAGTGTGCGTGCCTCGGTGGTTTTGTCTGTCGCCCCCCCCCCCCCCCCCCCCCCCCCCCTGGGGGGTGGGGGGCCCCCAAAAAAAACCTTTTTTCGGCGGCCCAAGCTTTCCCACCTGGGTCAAACAAAAAAAACCCCCCCCCCGAAAAGGCCCGGGAACCCCTCCCCCGCCAGGTTTA